TCATAGATTTGTAAAGCCTTTACTTCCTATATCTACTTAGCAAATCTTCACAAAGTCTTTCTTGGATCCTTGGACCTTCACCTGAACCAATTTGTCTATCACTGGTTTCTATAACAACAAAAGAATAAAGCTGCCGTCCATTCGCGTGGAATTAAAGCAACTTAATCAGTAGCCTATGCGTTCTAAACTATGTTCTACATCTATGCCAAATTTCAGCAATATATGTTTAGCCGTTCCGTAGATACGCTTTAACAAACCTAAACATTCGCATTTCTAACATAAGTAAGATATATTTTAAAATAAGTCATTAGAATCTAGATTAGACAACAAAACAATTTGTATCAAGCAATAATGTTATTGTCCAGACAAATAAGGGAGTGAACGTGCGAGCTAATAATGCCTTAGCCTTAATAACATTCCTAAGGCAAAAGGCCTCGATTGTAACAATACGAGGACAAAGTAATATTATACTGTAATTAAGGAATTCATGGCTTCAAAAGCAGGAACTCAAAACTTCGAATCCGCTTCGACCACACATGTCGTTAATGCGATCCGTATTTTTTTAATTAGATAGTGTTAGGAAGAAAATCCGAAAATGAGACTGTGTATTGACTCAACTAGCTTTACTAAATGTCGACGTTTATGTCCCCTCACTATTCATTCTGACACTGGACTTTGTAACGAAAGCGCGTCATTCGCGTCAAAGGATTCCAACTAAAAATAGATAAAGCCTTTATTCTATAACAACAATAAATACACTTTTATTATAACAAAATAAAATTTATTTATTAATGTATGAACAGTTTATTATCCAGCATCCAGTTGCGTGTGAGTTTGTCCTTCGATATGGGCCTCCCTAGTTTCTTCCATACCTCTCTATCTTGCGATAATCTTCGTCATCCTTTTCGTGAGTCATGTTTCCTAACTTTTATCGTCATCTTTGCCTTTTCATTTTGCTTTTTTTCACTTAGTAGATAAATAGCATGGTTCGGTATATCACAAAATATATTTTAACTCGTGTCTTTAGTGTTAATTATATCCACAAGCAATACGTAAAAGACATCTGAATATTTTCTTTTTACTCACATAGTTAATTAGTTTCAAACATATGAATAACGCAATTGAAAAGCTTACGTTGCTGTTGATTTTAAAGCGACATCGTAAAATTTATTCCACGTACAATGTAATAATTGTATAGATGAATGAGAAACGCCTTTTCGGTCAACGATCGCGCCTTGTTTGTAATGTAAGGAATCATGTGTTTACGCTGACATTACCGTACCGCAAATTTATACTAAATTTAATTAGCTGTCGCCCGCAACTTCGTCCATGCCATATTAAAAAATAGTACTGAACTGTAAAATATTATAGTAGTACTCTACTCTTAGACGTACTGAATATCGATATAAAATTTCATAAAAATCGGTCAAGCCTTTTGCGAGAACTATAGTAACTAACATTTACACTAGAATTTTACATATAAAATTTGTTTATTAACGTAGCTACATGACATAACATAGCAAGGTAGTCGCAATATTAACTACCAAATCTAAACTAAAACTCTCCGATAATTAGAAAATTAATTGATGTCAGCTTTACTAAAATATACTTTTAATAAGTAACGTGGCTTTTAGTATAATTGTGTAGAATAAATGTTTAAACTCGTAAAGAGTTTGAAACGGAAAATTCCAATTTCCAGTAAGTCGTGTTTGTTATGTTTTTGCGAAGTATTTTTAAGAACATTAAACTATCGTAGATGGTATGGATTGTTGAAATTGTCGCGATATATTTGCCAAGCTATTACTTATCTTAGTGCATTGTGTTAGGTAACAATCTTTGCTTTACATTTATTACTGTAACGTCCGCGTCTTGGTCGGTTATTGACGGAGCAATGTTTGCTGTTCGCTTAGCGGCCCTCCATTGCCAACTCGACTTGTTTATCTTTGCTAAGTGCTCACTAAGTATGCTACGTATATACAGTTAAAGTACTATGGTTATTTTTTATTAATGGTGGACAGGATGTGCTTTTTTTGTCGATTTAAATAATGAGCTATTTAAGTTGATAAAAAATTTCGTCGCAAAACAATAAGGATGCTAAACACGAATAGTTCTCATTTTACAGAGGTACTTTGATCTGTACTAAGCCCCAAAGCAAATATAGAGTTTAATTTTTTTTGTAGAATGTTTTGAATGGGAAGAAAAGTAGGTGGCGCTAGCGGCAAGAGTGGGCTGTCTGTCATCTGTTAAATTTGACGTAATTCGTTGCTATGATTACAGTGAAGAGAATGCTTTGTTTCTTACTAATATTATAAATGCGAATGTTTGGATGGATGGATAGATGTTTGTATAAAGATATCTCCGGAACGGCTACATGAATCTCGCTGAAATTTGACATACATATAGAATATAGTCTGGAAGAACACGGATACTAATTAAGTTTCTTTATAATTCCGCGTTGACGGAGTCGCGGGCAACAGCTAGTTAAAAAAAAGTGCTTTTATATCTGTGGCATATACGCTACTTCCAATCTTCATTATGCAAACATCTATATGGTAATTATTCTTCTCATTAATATTTAACAATAGATAATAAAGTGTAATAACAACAATTGGCTTAATAAAACATTTTATTTGTAGACGGTAAAAACCTGTTTATAAGAAATTTCGTCACAATCGCCATTGATGTTACGAATATATTTTTGTAATAGAGTTCAATGCAAACATAACTTGCATACAAAAGTACGTTTTCCTTGTCAATTTTATTTCGTAACATCGACGTATGAATCACGTATCGAACGTGACCGGCGAGATGGTCACACTGTGACTTACCGTCTTGAATAATGTTATGTTATATTTTTTAATTAACGTATTTAAATACGTTAAGTATGTTTTAGAACCCCGTAAAAGAATTGAAAATTTACATTAATGGAAACAATACTACGAATACGAGTATGTCAACGGCAACTATTATCATGAAATGAATTTTGCTCAGTGTTTATTCACAGGATAATAAAATGTTTCGATTCGCGCGCATTTCTTTGCATGTCAAAGTTGTGTTTTTCGCTTCAAGTTCAATGTCAATAATTTGTTATGTTTTTTCTACGTTTATAAAAGTTCTTTTAGTTGTGAATAGGAAGAGGAAGACTACTAGGTGTAATGCAAAATTATGAATGATATTATTTGTTCGCGAATTATGACCGAAACTGCGAATTACAAACAGATCATAACGCTATGTTTTTTTTTTACCATTTATCCGGCTGTACACCGGCGACGAAATTAGCACTGACGTGCAAAATGAACAATAGTGATTTATCTGACGTACAGACGAGGTTATATTTGTAATCATAGAACTGTTAAATATTCAGTTTAAAACAATTACCAAACTTAGCAAAACAAATATACTTTTGTTATTACTAAACGCGGAATCGCCTGTTTTTTTAATGTTGATTCTTATTCTAATATACTAAAGACCTTATTCGTCTCTTACAGCGAATCGAAAATCATTTTCTTGTATACATCTTATACTAATATAAAAAGTTTGGATGAATGGATAGATGAATGTTTGTTTGAAGATATCTCCGGTATGGGTGAACGGATTTTGATGTATTTTGGCACACATGAAGAACAAAATCTGGAAGTACATATAGCCTATTTATTATGTTTTTTTTTTCAATTTCCGGCCAGCTAGAGGCAACACATATATCGTACAATGCTTCACCACAGAAGCGGATGTCTTGCGGCACATTTTCAAAACGTAATGATTGTATTTCTACATTTTACTAGTTATTTTATCCATAAACAGCGAAGTAAGCGTAGCCTGCAGTCTTAATATAGACAAGGCAATATTTCCGAATTAAAACATTTCCCAAAATCTTTATTAATTTCAATATTTTGTATAAATATGGATGAGTATTATGGCGTTATTATTAAAACGTACCCGGTGTCAGACTGTTTTCATAAATAGATTTTGGCACATTTACTATGCAATGTTAACCTTCAATACAGAGATATATTTTAAAATTGTGTAGTTACTACAATAGGCACATATTGTAAATAATGTTTAACTCAGTTTAATTTTTTTATTTGCTTTTTAAATGTGCAGTTGAAAAGTTTATTTTTGTCCTTTTATATCTCGGTGTTTTATTTTTAAAAGTAAAACTATTTAATAGTTTTAAAAGGTTCATGGATTTATGTTGATTACTTCTCATGTAAGTACCGCGTTTGCGTTTGAGTTTTTCAAAAGGTTTTAACATATTTAAATTTTCTCTTGTGTTTCTTTAGATTGTGTTTGTTAATTTATTCAATAACGGATGAAATTAAGATTATTTCAAATGTAAGAAAATATAAGTATGGATCAATACGATTTTAATTCAAATAGTTTAAGAATAGTTATAGTAAATTCTTTACACAATTATTTTTCTCGTGTCAATTTTCTTTAACTATTTTTTTTCTGTAGGTTTACTTTTAAATTCTGCATTTTAAATGTACTTGTGGTAGATGTAGTGATAATTATTAAATTATTTTAGTACTTAAAATGTATATAATGGCCAGATAATCTTATTTCTTTTAATATAATTTATCTCTCAAATAAATACAATATCTTAAATGAATAAAATTTATAATAACTTCTTTCATAACTTGATTTTTTTATTAATAAAATAATTTCAAAGTTACCCGTCTGAAGGTTATACACACTATGGAGTTTTTTTTGTTACTTTTTCTGCGTATAGCAAAGCTTCAATTTGTTCAGTCAAATTGTATTTGTGTAGAAAAAACTGAGAACTGACTTTAATTGACAATAACAATGTTGCCACACACGAAAATTTTAAGTGAACAGTCTTCCTGTTCTGTCAAAAATGTACAGACTTAATGCAACGGATTAAAAAAGACGTTCTTTGGTTACAAATCGATTGAAAGTTTTATAAGAACGGGAAATAATTTTCCTTTATTCATCATCTAAATTGCGAGTTGTGTTTTTTTTTAAACTATTTTTTTTTGCAGATAGTACATATTGACAATGGTTGCTCGTCCGCCGTCACCAGTGGGCGCTTTGATTCCGCGGTTCTTCGCAGGACGCCATGTTCTTATCACGGGCGCCACTGGATTCATGGGCAAGGTAAGGAAAACAGATATTTTACCAAATTATTTAAACCATCAGCTATAATTAGCTAATTCTAAATCTATTATTTCTCGAATTACTGACATATTTTTAGGAACAAAATCGACATTGATTCGGTGTAACGGCGCAACACTAGTCTTATTAAAATATCATAGCTTATGTCCCCTCACTAATTATTCTGACACTCGGCAAAAAAGCGCGCCAAACGATTATAACGAATTTTGTCTAAAAGTTGAGTCAGATGTCATTTTAAAGTTTAATAAACTTTTATGTATTTTTTTAAGTCTGTTTATTTTGCTCTTTTTCCCAGATCAAGAAATAATTAGAGGTTTTTAATACAAAAGAGTTGATATGAAAATATATTTTTGTTAGTATGTCAATATCAATGAAAACCTTTGTGTGAAAAAAACCACAGATTGTCTTTGGTCTATAAATAAGAATGAAATAATAATAACAATATAATTCTGATAAATAATTTAGAAGATATCACGATCATAAACATGAATTCGCTCGTCGGACGCGGTAATTTTTGCAAGTTTTTTAATAACTTAATAGACGGGCCATTAACGGGAAGGGTACTATGACAGACAGATATGGAATATACATATGGAAATCGAAGATCGAAAAACACATGTAGATGGCAAGATTCGAAACTGAATTTTTCAAGTCAAGTGCTTAAACTCTGAGCCACAGATCTAGTGTATTTGAGATCTTATTATTGATATAATTTGAAATTTTAAAATCCATGCAATTCTTAGTAGGTATTTTTAGACATTATTAGTTACAATCCTTTGGCTCGAATGACGTGTTTTCATTACAAAGTCAAGTGTCAGAATGATTAGTGAGGGGACATAAACGTCGACATTTTAGTAAGGCTAGTGTTGCGCCAGTACACCGACACAGTCGGATTTTCTTCCTAATAGCATATGGAAATTAAATTACCATACCAAGATCAAGGTATCTCGTTGACTTTTGTCAGTATTAAGTACTTATTTTTCCCTTGAAAATCGATGGTGAACATTAATCATGTCAAAAGGCTATCATATTAATAGTTTTCCACTTTATACCAGTTTCCTTTTATTTATATAAAAGGAAATAATAAAGTATGCCTATATAATATATTACATACGATTATATTAAAGTTAATATTACACAAGGTCAATAAGATAATTTACGACCGATAAACAGTTCCGGTTTACCGCCTTTCAACATTTTAACAATGTTACGTTGTACCTTCGAGAACTTACTATTCTTAAAACTGTTAAGGTGATGCCACACGATAGGATACTTATTACAGCTTGTAACTATATGTAATCCTCTTCCAGTAAAACATACCTATGTATATTCAAACCTGTGTTAAACATTCGTAAGAAAATTAAATAAATTAAAGTAAATGTCGGCTTAACGCACACTTAGTTTAGTTTTAAACTTAAACTTTCGAAAATAGCCTGTAATAAGCTACAAATAAGTCCAAACGTTTTTAATATTTTGTAGAGAAAGGGGGCAAACGAGCAGCGGATCGCCGAACATTAATTGATCCGACGCGCATGGCAACACCAGAGATATACCTGAATAATTTAAATGTTTAATAATTAACAATTTATTTATTGTTTTAGGTGCTAGTAGAGAGGTTACTGTCGACATGTCCTGATATAGGTTGCTTATATCTTCTGTTAAGACCGAAGAAGGAGGTCGCACCAGAAAAGCGTCTCCAACAGTTAAAACAGTCGCAGGTTGGTCAACTTAATAATTTTATGCTATTCTGTTTCTAAAATTTATCTGTATTAGGCCGTGAATTCCATTAGTCCATTTCTTTATAACTGTATTTTAATTCTTAGGTGTTTGACGTGATACGCCAAACTAATCCTGCACAACTGGATAAGCTGCGAGTGATCCCGGGAGACGTATCAGAACCCGGCCTAGGGTTGCCACAATCTGCTCTTCAAATTCTAAACGAGGTATATTGTCCTTTAAGCTTATATTAACTTATTTAATAAATATATTTACGCGTTTGAATAGTCTAAATAACAAAGAAATATTTAAAATAATTTTGCAATACAATGAACATACGTGGTAATGTGTTTCGTTATGTAACAAAAATGAAGTTTGTAACGATTTTTGTCTTACAAAATATGTTTAGCAAGCTACAATTTGATGTTCTATTCCCAGGTTTCTATAGTCTACCATTCTGCTGCGACTCTAAGATTTGACGAGCCCCTGCCGATGGCTGTGCGACAAAATGTTCTATCAGCGATACGCATGATGGAACTCTGTGATCAATTGCCAAATATTGAGGTTATTTTTTTTTATATTTAATGGTATATCAAAATTATTGATAATTAGCAACACAAAATTTTACAGTCTCCGTCTGTATGATCTGCGTTTATTTCTAGTTCTGACAACTTTGTAATTTTACTATTAAAAAAAAACTCATTAAAAAACAATTCATCACACGATCTTTTACATTTAAAATATCTTGACATAAAATTAATGCGCATAAATTTAGCACATTTTAAGATATAAGTGACTCAATGACATGTGATCCGTGGTAAAAAAAATGTATTTGATTAAAAAAAAACAATTTTTTATATTATTACTACTCAAATATTGATTTTCCGCACCAAACTAGCACGGTGTTATTTTCCATCGCTTGTCTATAAAAAACTTAAGCTCTGCTTTATATATAAAAGATAAAATCTTAAATACTGCAATATAAATTATGCGTTACACTTGGAAGTTTATATTATTTCTTGGAGTCAGGCCAAATTAAACTTAAAAAACTTTAAACTTTTTAAATTTAGAATTCAAAACATTTTTACCTATCTATTATAATTTTAAAACAGCTTGTTTTTTATAATAATAAATAAACATTGCTTAAGTAAGTTTAAGTACTACTTAATAACACGCTTGCTTCAAACACAAGCGGCCATAAAGTTTGAATCTTATGTTACTATTACTTGATTTCAGGCGTTCATGCACGTATCTACTGCATATAGTAATTCAGAGAATTCGCACGTGGGAGAAAAAGTGTACGAGCCGCCTGCGCAGCTGCACCATCTCTTATCGCTGCTAGAAGTTATGCCTCCGCGTCTATTGGCAACCATTACTCCTCAGTAAGTAGTCTGTTTATTACAGCCTTGCCTCAAACAACCCTGCATGCCGCATCTATTACTAAGACCCCCAAACGTTTTCTATCTGACTTATATTTGGCTGGTTATATTTGCTCTTTAATTGTGAACTTTGTTTATTGCCGAGTCTTCCGTGGATCTCAGGGGGTTCACCTTGATAATTAACAGTAAAGTTTAATATCCCATACTTATATTGATCTTTTTTTAATAACTTTTCGTGAGCCATTACAAAGAACTTATATAAAAACGGCTAAAACAATCACACGACGGGTCGCGTTCGCGAAATAATACCAGTCCCACTCACTCTGATGAAGGGCCCCTGATGGGTTCGAAACTAATCGGTGCCGCCACCGGACCATGCGTGAATGTTTAGCCGTTTTTATATCAGTTTAATGTAACTTATTTTTACTATATTAGAAGTAAATATTTAACAATAATAATGTTATCTTTATTATTTTAGATATATATCCCCAAAGACCAACACGTACACGTTTACAAAGGCCATGGCGGAGGAGGCAGTGAGGCTGCATGGCACACAGCGGTATCCCACCGCGATATTCCGACCTACTATAGGTAATAGAGCACTGCCTTCTATATCAAATTTAAATTATAAAGTAGTTTTTACCAATCTAAATAAAAATCGCAATAAAACGATAAAGATTCAACGATTTATTTAATTTTGTTAAAGACTTTCCATCGTCTTAAATAAAGGCACTTAACTGCCTACAGAAAATTTAAATAAATTGTTGGGTAAGAAATTTTCTTAAGAATTATTTTGTTCAATGGTTGATTCTTTGAAGATATGTTCGTAATACGATTACATTTTTTTTTTTGGTTTGTCAGTGGTATCCTCGCTACAGCATCCCTTCCCCGGATGGATCGAGAACCTGAACGGTCCGAGTGGCATCATAGCGGCGGCGGGCAAAGGTCTCCTACACGTGTTCACGGTGAAGGAATCCGCGCGCGCAGACATGCTGCCAGTTGACATCGCCATAGACACGCTTATCGCCGCGACATGGGAAACTGCCATAGACAAGTCAGTTATATTTTTTATAATAAATGTAACCAAACATCTGCTCGCTAAAAAAACAACGTCCTGTAATTTATCACGGGTTTTTATGGTCGCCTTTCTGCCTCCGTCCATTCTGAAAACAGACTTAATTGCAAGTTAGTAGCGTGATTATGCATTTTAATTAATATTGATGAATCCATAGTGTCGCAGCCCTAGTGGAACTATTCAGGAACATATCAGCGAGACTTCCCCACACAACTAAACTTCTAGTACTAATTCTACTCGGCAATATACCTAAATAAGTGTTCCTTACACAGATCAAAAGACATACGAGTGTACAATTGCAGTACACAAGAGAATCCAACAACATGGGGACATTTCGAGAAGGCCATGCGCATGTATATTCGAGAGTACCCAATGAACAGCGTCATTTGGTATCCATCAGGAACTGGAGTTGAGAATAGGTACTTATTATTTTATTAATAAACTAGCTATCGCCCACGACTCCGTCCGCGTGCAATGAAAAAATACTTAATTAGTTCCCGGCAATTATTCGAATTTTTCACACCTTTTAAACCTTTCCTAGACGAACGAACATTTTAAAACCAAGATAAGATAAATCCGTTCAGCCGTTCTCGAATTTTAGTGAAACTGTGTTTTTTCAAAGTATGTTCTATAAGTAGGTATGCTAAAATTGCTGGAGATCCATTCAGCCGTTCTGGAGGTACCTTCAAACAAGCATCCATCTATCCATCTAAACTTTTGCATTTATAATATTAGTAAGATAAATTACCATGTGGTACATATTACCAAGTGTAGTAATAAAAAGCTAATTTCAGATACGCGCAGAAGATTTTGGAATTTTGTTTACAAACTTTGCCACTGCATGCCGCGGAATATATACTACGCAGTGTCGGAATGAAGCCACAGTAAGTCTCCAACATAACCTAAAACCTAACCTAATTGTTTTGAACACTAACAATTCACCTAAAACGATATACATTACTTCTTTTAGATTGAACCTCATCACAGCGTCTCAGAAAATGAGCGCAATGAATGGTGTCCTTGGCTTCTTCGCCCTCAACGAATGGGATTTTGACACACACAACGTACAGAAACTGCGCTCTCGCTTGTCATTAGAGGATCGACGCATATACAACGTGGATCCTAATTCCATCAAGTCAGTACTGAACGTAATTTAAAAAAAAAACATCAAATTATTATTTTAATGCACATTTCGCAACACGACAGAGAAGAAAGATACAACATACCTAGAAAAAGAGAGACAGAAGCTTTTTCTCAGAACTCTGAATATTTTGAATATGTTTAAACGTACTCTGTCCCTTTCTATTGTCCTAAAAGGAAAGGGTTTCGATGTTTCTCGCGGACGTATTTTAATATATTTTTTCTTATAGCTGGCAAGAACTCTACAGAAATTTCGTCAAAGGCACGAGGCGATACCTTTTGAAAGAAAAAGACCAAGACATAGAAAAGGCAAAGCGACATATGCAGAAGTAAGTTTGGTTTTGTCATTTGACTTTCCCTACCAATATCTTTCTAATATTATAAATGCGAATGTTTAGATGGATGGATGGATGTTTGTTTAAAGATATCGTCTACATGGATCATGCTGAAATTTCTTGTAGATGTAGAACATATCCTGGTAGAACACATAGGCTACTAATTAAGTTTTTTATAATTCCGCGCGGACGGAGTCGCGGGCTACAGCTAGTGTTATGATAATTATTTACTTGGATTTTTTCCTTATTCATTAAAAATTATATCAATTATGTTTCTTTTTCAGGATGTATTATCTCCACAAAGGTGCAATTATGTTCACGATACTTCTGGTCTTCCGACTGATGCTGCAGAACAGATACATGCGAGACCTGGTTTATGGAATTCTCAGGCTATTGATGTACATTGTCAGTACCACATACTCCCGAGTTACTGCACAAGTGTAGGCTAAGTTAGTTTACCATAATAGCTTTAGAACTGTATGCAGTTTTCCAAACTAATTCGACTTTTATAAGTCAAATCGATTTTCTGAATGTCCGTTTACGAAATAATTCAATGAACACTACAATTATTTGAAGAAATTTGCAATTCGAATCGCGGTAAACAAACATTTTTCAAAGTCAATTATTGAAATTTAATATGGCTCCATTTCTGAATCTCTTATAAAATATCTGAAGAAAATTTTTGGTTATGCTTAGCAATTGACAATTTTAAACTTAATATATTATGTGATAGATAATATTAAGGATAGACCCTAATAAATAAATATTTTAATTAGTATGAGTTATCAAAAAAAAATTAAAAATATGAACAGATTCAAAACTATACTAATGACTCTCTATCCGTAGGTATTGAGAACAAAATCCCTGTTTAAAAACATAATGTTATCTCTGTTTTTTCAAAGATGTTGACAGGGATGACGATATTTTTTATTCAGTGATTTTAGTATCGCAAACCCCCACTCCCATAATATTTTTTTTTCTTGGCTTTCACACAAAGTATATTTAGCCACTGACAAGTAGCTGACAAGCTATAATTAAAATTATAAATTAAATTGTGTCAATTAAAAAGAAAGTGAATTTATTTGTTTTTTTTGGGTCTATCACTGTAAATATACGGTTTTTACGTGGTTTAAAAGAAGTGATAGTATTTGTATAGTAGAATTAAGCATAATCTATACATCTATATATTTTAAATAATATTATAGTGTTTTAAAGTTTATGTATTTAAAGTTAGAAAGAATTACTTTCGATGCCTTTTTTTTTGTAAGTCGAATAATTTTGTTTACTTCATTTAGTTACTATCGTTATTTATTTTTTTATGTATACTTCGTCACTTATATTTTTATTATTTTATGTGATTTTAAGGTAATATTAAAATTATTTTTACTTATTTAAAATTGTATATAGAGTTAACACATAGCACGTAGATGTTCGTAATAAGATAGAGTATTTATAATATTCTAATTGCATTGAAATAATATCGCATCGTATTATTAAAAATTAAGGAATAGGGATGTCTGCTTGGTGTTGGCTTCATGTTCTTACTTTAAATATTATATTTAGTTTTACTACAATAATCATGGGAATAAAAATATGATTATACTCTCAGATTAAATAAAGTTTCAGTATTTTAGTTTTTTAATTGTGCTTTACAAATGCTTTGAAGATTTTAATAAAAATAAAAGGAAATCCACTTTAAATATATTTATTGGTAAAAAAATTAAATGTACTATTTCAACTGAAGTGTTTCGATGTAAATGTAAAAGCAATAAAAATGATTAACTTTCAACACGTTTAATTATTTTACCTTTCCATTTAATTGTCGGTGCAAATAATCACCTACAGAGGATCGCAAACTAAAAATACCTATAAGGCAACCTAGCTAAGGCGGCATATTACTTACAGGTTAACGTAGACAATATTGTTGGTGAAAAAGTTACACATAGGTCCCCAGCCCTACCCATGTATAACTTTTTGAGTAGGTCGATTAATTCATAAGAATTAAAATGTCGATGTTCAAAAACATTCTTGCCCAATAGGCGTAATGCCAAAAAACAAAACAAACTTTTTGTTGTAAATGTCAATCAAAGAGTATATAAAATAAGAGACGGGACTCTTGACTAATTAGATACACAATCGGAGAATAAAAATTGTCATTTTCAATGCTAGCAATATTATGAACAAGTCTACGTTGCTACCAACCTAAAAAAATCAATCTGTCAGTTTCCTTTTTAACGTTTGAAAGTATTATTCGAGGGAAAACAATTTAGGAAAAATAAAAACATTTCGTTAATTGCAACTTTAATTTAATCTTCTGACTAAAGCGAACATATTTTAAGAACGCAACATAATGCTCACTGCTTTCGTAATAATACCATTATTGTTGAGTTCACCAACAAAATACCCCAACTTTGATAAATGCTTATTTGTTCCAGTTTGTTTATTTGAAAGCTCATATTTTCTGATAGAACTGGAGTAGCAGTGCCACTCTCGTCGGGAGAAATAGAATAGCACTGGAAAGAGAGATTAGCTCCTTCTTCTTCTTCTTCTTCCCCCTCCCTCGGACCCTTAGACCCCCGGACCCTTAGACCCTCGGACCCTTAGACCCTCGGACCCTTAGACCCTTAGACCCTCGGACCCTTAGACCCTTAGACCCTTCGACCCCCGAACCCCCGAACCCCCCGAACCCCTGACCCTCCTGACCCCCTGACCCACCGAACCCTATGTCAGGGACTTGGGTGCGGGAATATCTTTATTTCTTTATTTTAAGTGTTTAAAAATCAATTACATAGTCTTAAAATTATATCACATTCTTTTCTTACATCTAGGTTAAAAAACATTAAAACATTTTAAAATGTAAAATTAAAAGGTTAAAAAGTGAAATCTGTATACAAGTTAAAAACATTTTAAAATAAATCCAATAAAATTATAAAAACTATAGGAACAGAGGGGTTCAGTGGGTATGCCTCCGCTATGGAGGAGCATCCCACATAAAGCATTCCCCTATGAAAAAAAAAAATTATGTGGGTTCCCGATTGCAGAAGGGTTCATGGTCCACTTTTCAATCTTCAAATGACAATAATAATAACGTAGGTAACGCGCGATGGTTCAATGTCCGTTCCAGTCTTAAACGTTTTTTGAACTAAGTAATAAAAAATAAACAGAGATTGTATACAATTTTCTTACGAGTAATTTAAATTTTAACACAGGTACTTTACCCCAAAATGATGCCTCCTAAGCTCATTATTTTCCTCGTTAAGGAATCTATAGGTTAAACATCTATGGAGAATAGTAATAACAAAAGAGTTAATATGCGGAATCTTTAGGTTCATGATAATTTTATGAATTTATTTGAGAAGTAAAACTTAAATATTGTATTTTATTTTTACATTACATAATATTTAACATGACTTGTACTTGCAAATGCAATGTTTTGATAGGAAAATTTTGGATTAGGAGACTATTTGGAGCGTCGGCAGTGCAGTTGGCGCTTGACCGGATCATATTTTACATATCCAGGTACGATCTCCGCTATATAATAATGCGTTCTTCGAATTTCTTGATAATATCCATCCGACATTTTTACTGTAATTACAAATTGCATACAACTGCATAGATATTCAAATATATGTGTGAAGTCAACCAACCCTCACTGGCTCTGCGTTGTTGAATAAGACCTAGTCGCATTCCTGAGGATAGGCTCCGAGCTCCTCAGTGGAGTATAGTGTGTCCGTATAGTGAGCTTGATGATGACGATTTGTTTTGCTTCAATGCATATTGTCTTGTTAGCAATTTTCTAAATATTTTACCAACAGATAGGAGCTAATCTCTTTCCAGTGCTTTTCTATTTCTCCCGACGAGAGTGGCACCACTACTCCAGTTCTATCAGAAAATATGAGCTATCAAATAAACAAACTGGAATTTTATTTTTCCAAAATGTTGTCTGTCTGTTTCTTGTTTATGGCTCTCCCTCATCGGATTGGGCCAATGTCAAGTGTTTATGGTTCTGTTTAAACTTGTTAGAGACTGGCAACAATACTCTGCTTGTAGAGAAGTCTTGTGAATAAACAAGTGAACCAAAGAATAAAACTTTTGAATTACCTGAAACTGTTGATTTACCTAAAAGGACAGACACAAACATTTAAATATTGTTAGTAGGTTATAAGACGTACAACTTAGAGTCTAATATTATTAGTGTTAATATAGTCAAATAAAATATTAATAAACGAAGTATTTACAAAAGTTAAGAGAGTCTTAAAGTTAGTGGGACGAGGGATGGAATTGGAAAGTATATCCAATAATGATAATGTCTTTTTAGGACAAGTAAAAAAAATGTGATCCACCGTTCCTTCCTCTAGACCGCATTCACATAGGGAGCTGTCTTTCACACGAATTTTAGCCAGAAAAACAGGAGTGCATGCGTGGCCTAAACGTAGTCGACAGATCGTTGTTTTCATGATGAATACAAATAAATTGTAAATTTTAAATTACATACTTAAATTAACTAGATTAAATTGTTGTTTATTTATAATCCAAACTTTAAATGTAAAGAAATCATAAATTTTTAAATCACAATTTATTCATATGCACTATGTTTTTTTTTTAAAACAGCCCAAAAATTATAGAGAAAGTTATGAGTGAGATAGATACATAATTTTCAAGATGAACGATCTCCGTTTGCGTTCAATTTGTAGCACAGATTATAAAAGTTTCGATTGCCTGATGTCAATGTCAAATATCGCATTCTTGAAATGTCAAATTGGAATGTCAAAATCAAAATCCGTTTCGGGAGGATGTGAATTGCTCTCGGAAAGAAACTGTTTAATTTACTCAAAATGTTTGATAAAGTTTTCCAACGCGCGTTAAAGTTTCGCCTGAAGAAGACATATCCAACGAATATATATGATCTAACGCGCGGGGCGGCCATCGCTGTCCGGCGTCCGTATAGTGATGAAGTTCGACGCGCTCAAGCTCAAAGTGTAGCGGCGCCGGGTCCAACGATATTCGACAAAATAATTTCAAAAGAAATCAAAGCTGATATAATTTATGAGGATGATCTCTGCCTCGCATTCAACGACATCAGCCCCCAAGCTCCGGTTCATTTCTTAGTCATCCCGAAGCGGCGAATTGCGCGACTCCAAGATGCTGTTGATAATGATAAAGAGGTTGGTATTCCCTTGCTATATCAGTATTATAAAAGTATCATATAAATCAGCAATATTTCGTTAACTATTTGGATCCTATTGTATGTAATGAGTGTCTTCAGAAACCACAATTTATACTTTTTTTACTTATAATATTTATTCTGGACTGATTAGGACTGGACGAAGTTTATTAAAAAAACATTTTTTGAATTTGGCTGTTTATAAAAATGGACCACACATTAAAAAAAATTCTGATTATAGGAATTTATGTAAGAAATCTGTTTTTAACATTGTTAAATACTGTCATACAAAACAATGGATAAGGGATTGAATAATTGATTTGCCATACTGATCACAAATTTAGTCAGTAATTGCTCTACTCATGTAGAATAAAACAAAATTATAACTATTACTTTAAATCATGAGTGATGCATACATACAGTTACTTTTACTAATGTTGCAGTTGTCTTACTAATATTATAAATGCCAATGTTTAGATAATAAAATTTTATTTTACATTTCACAAACCTGATTCATTATAACTTTGGCCCCTTATCTAGGTTTCCCTTTATTATAGGAGCCAATTAGATGGGAGGATAGATGTTAGAAGGTATCTCCAGAACTACTGCATGAATCTTGCTGCAATATGGCATAGATGTAGAACATAGAGTGAAAGAACACATAGGCTACTAAGTTTTTTAATTCCGCACAGAGTCTTGAGCCACAGCCAGTAATTATATATATCATATAACTTAATTATTCACAATTAAAAAAAATGCAAGTAGGTATATAACATGTAATAAGCATTGTTTTAATTATTCCTTATCAGAAAAGAATGTACAAACAATTCTGTTATCAGTTGCAAGCTTAATTTTATCCTTGTGTAATCTTATGATAAGTTTGGTGTGACAAAGTGCAGGCATCTGGGACAATGAGCCTCGCAAATTAATAAATTTATCAAATATGTTAATACATATTTTTCATCTATTCCATTCATGTATGGCCTGGCCTATATGACAAGTTATTTCACTCTTATGTAGAAGCAAAAAAAAAATATTAGATTTATGGATAGCTAATGACATTGTTTTTCCAATGAAGAATTCATATACTTCCAAAAAATAGGGGGAAGAGGTCACCAGTGAGGAACAAAACTTTGAAATGTTTTTGTTCCTTATAATTTAAATAAAGCTTTTATCTTTGTAAAAGAAACAGAGAGATGTCATCTTATATCATCAATTTAAACACTGAACAGTTCCAAAACAAGTCCATAGGTTAACTGATATAAAAACGACTAAACACTCACATATATTAATTTAAATTAAACATCCGCGCGAAACTAGTCAGTGCCGCCACAGGATGAATATATGTGAGTGTTTAGCCGTTTTTATATCAGTTTAGTATAATGTCTCATGAAAGTTTGAATAATTAAAGTCCATAGGTATTTCAGCCAGTGAAATGTGTAAATAAAATTTCTCATTTCCATTGAATTCCATCCTGCTTTCATTGAAATTGAATACACCTTTTTACTTATAAATTTATGACACCAAAAACAATTTAAAATGTCAAATTGTTGCAGTGAATTTTCATCACAATTCTATTAATGGTCTAAATATGTATAATACCAAAGTTTCTTATGCATGCAAGTATTTAAAAATCAATAAAGATTATGATGAAATTTAATTTAAAAAGATCAATATAATGTTAAAAATGTCATAGTTAATATTATCTCAAATACTTGACAATATTTAAGATTTGTAAGCGGCGTGTGATAACGTGCAATTATGTCGGCGTGACTCACAAGTCAGGAATGCTGACCAAACTGATAGCCGGCACCAGCAAGTACAGTCGCGACGAAAATTCATAGTTTGAATTTTACATAATTTGCTTACGACAATAGACAATGTGTTATGAAATTTATTATAATATTATTTAATAATTTGATAAATAAGCTATTGAGTTAATAAATAAATATGAATATTTTATATAAGTTAAACAAAAATTGTAAAAAATAATTTTTGCTATGTTAATAATTTTCCATTTGACTGTACTTGACACTGATTTATCGCTATTTTACATCTTTTTGACTACGAAATAAGGTTTATTTTATATAAAAAACGACTATTGTATCCTTGTTATTCTGATGAATGTTTAGTTAAATAACATCGCGTGATGTGACGTGGTTTGTTTCTGCGTATTAAATAGTTTGCAGTGCATACGTCATAGATGTTTCATTCTGTTGATAAAGTATTTTTACAAGATTGTAAATTCGTATTAACATAAAATGTTTAAGTATCTATGGTAAACAAATCCTGCTTTTGTAATGACGAAGGAAGAACAATGTTAACGTTATTTCGATCTTGAAAGGCGAAAGATTAATAAATTGAGATTTTGGCGTCCCTAATGAATATGCCTTGGGATACTTGTCTTACTATAAAGACTGTTTGGATGTTTTTTTTTTGGAAATATCTTGAGAACCGCTGTATGGATCTCGCTGGAATTTGGCATAGATGTAGAACATAGTCTGGTAGAACACATAGGGTACTAATTAAGTTTTTAATAAAGCTTGTAACTATATATAAACGGAATCGTTTCTATCTCCAGATCCTGGGACACTTGATGTTAGTTGCGCGATCTTTGGGTGCAGCGAGGGCGCCGGCTGGCTGGCGTCTTGTGGTGAACAACGGACGCCACGGCGCCCAGTCAGTCTACCATCTCCATCTGCATGTCCTGGGTGGACGCCAGATGGGATGGCCACCGGGCTAACTGACCGTAACAGGTGATAGAAGAAATGAGAGGGCGATATTTGTTTTAAAAATGTCTCAACAGTGCCTTAGTCCTTTTTCTAATATTAAAGGGAATGATCGAAATTTTTTAGATAGAAACATAGCTTTGTTAAATGTAGCTAGGTGTCTGAAAGCACAAATGTGTTTTTAATATTTATCGTTAACAATAAATCTAGTGGCTTAAAGATAGAAATCCAAAATGAAGGTAAATTTGGCTCAGGATTAAAAAAATTAATGCCTTCTCGTTTCTTTTTCTATCATTTTTTTTTGTTTATTTATATTAAGTTCATTTATTGGCAAATTTATATGTTTTTTGTAGTACATAGAATTTCTTCCGTTTTTGTATTTACTTGCTCTTTTTATTACTCTTATTTTAGTAATAACTTTAAGATGTTAAAAAATATATCTTTTGACATTTGTACATCTATCTTGTCTATGTTGAAATAGACTTGTCATAGATTAAACAATGTTGCGCTCAAAAAATGTCAAAGAATGTACTAAAGAAGAAAAAAAGTGTCATAAATTTTGCCATTAAATAGTTGTAGTGGTTAGATGTTAGTGCAATAATTTGGCCAAATTAATTCTAGATTAGTATATAATGTTATTTTCTCAAATTACTATTTGGAATGCCACAGTTTGAAGATAGTAATTACTGTTGTGCCTGAATAAATATTAAATTTTTCCTCATTTAAATCTCACTGCAAAATTCCATGCCTTATATAAAATGTTCATTCTGAATATAACCTCATAAATAATAATAAAAACAAATAGAATACGAATCTCAGATTTCTGTATATCTCATACATTTAAATTGAATAAAATAGTCAAAAATCTAGTCAGTGTATTTGTTTCATAGAAAATTGTCAATAAAACTTGTATCCATTTTTTTTTAATTTTATTTAACTTTGTAATGATTGGTAAAGTATAAAAATTTTGGTCAAAAACTTTACTTCCGTGTGTTGCCATAAATAATAATATCTGAGATAAAAATCCGCTCATTTTTTGCCATAACCCAGTATTTCGCTTCTCAAACTGTGGTATTAAAAATTGTCTATGAATTTTATCTTATTTTGTATTCAATTTTAACTTTTAAGGGGTACACACGGTAAAAAGAAAAACATTTATACCACAGTTGCTACAATAGTTATTAAAAAACAGATTATTTTTAAGATTAAATCACAAAAACGTTAATTTAGTATCCGTTTTTTATCTGTAGTGTTAATTTATGATTAGAAAATGGTAACACCCAAATATTAAACTACTAAAATAATTAAAAATAGTTTTTCTTTTTACTGTGATATTAGATTTATAATAGTTTGTAGTTTTGGGTGCGGGAGGTCTTGCAGCCATCCTCTTGTTTTGTAAGAAACTAAGAAAAATGGATGCGGGTCCGTCAATAAATTGTTAAGAATTTAATATATTAATTAAATTCTGTAACCAAAGGAATAAAATATTTTATTACTTGCAGTTGTGGCTTTTATTTACCTGTGCACACAAAAATTTATTAAAAATGTTAACTTCTTTAGACACTATTTTTGCCCCTTGCCCTTTCCAACGCAACTTTTAAACTAAATATATGTTAATTTTAGGAATTTGTACATTCTAATTTAAATGTGTAAATAAATCTATACATATAAAGATATAAATATTTATTCTTCAGTATCCTGTAACAAAATTAAATCAAAACTTTACTCATATCGTAATTTAATTGTAAATACATATTACTTTTATACATTATTAGTTAGAATCTTTTCGCGCCAATGACGTGCTTTCGTTACAAAGTCAAGTGTCAGAATGAATAGTGAGGGGACACAAACGTCGACACACAACACAAATGTTCGTAAGGCTAGTGTTAGATCAATACACTGGCACATTTTCGTATTTTTTCCCAACATTACACAAGTATTTAATCACAACAAATGTAATTCAAAAACCCTAAATAACCAAAGAGATAAGGAAAAGCAAAATATTAATTTTAACACAACAAATTTCGAAATGGGTTTATTTTATAAACGCATATTAAAGGTACAATACCGGCGGTGATAAGGGGCAGGTGGGGAGCGCGGCGCAAGTAACAGGTGCGGGGGCGCAGGGAGGTAAAGCAGCTGCCAACAAGGGGGCTGCTGCAGCTAGCGTCGAAGATAGCACTGCAGGTAGTGCCGCTTCTAGCAGCGGAGGTAGGGCCGTGGCTAGCGATGCAGAGATAGTTGATGCTAGCAGCGGAGTGATTGCGGCTAGTGCAGCGGTAGGCGGGGCTGGGGCAGCTGGGAGCACGATTGGCGCGGCTGGAGCAGCTGGAATAACGACCGGAGCAGGTGCCGGCGCTGGCAAGCAGTACGCTGTCGGTAGGCACTGGGAGTGCGCTTGCTGGAATAATAAAAGTAATGGCTGATCTTTATTCTCTCTTCAATTTTACACTCGGTCATTAAATTGTTTATAGTCTCTTAGTAAAGCTTTAGTATTAGACTCAGTACTGCCATAAAATTGGACAACCCTGTAAAGAAAAAATGTCACACCATTGGTTTCTGAGACCAAAGGTTCTCTGTCATTAGCTTTGATAAAACCATTAGCAATATATTGTCGTCGGGGATTTTAGTCTCAGAAACCCATGATTAACGGTTTTTAGTATTAAAAATGTATCTTACCTGCAGCAGCGCTAATATGGAACAGATGACGCCTAGGAGTAACATGGTTGTCGGAGGCGAAACTGTACACTACGCAGACATATATTCCAACCCATATCACATGTCCGTGACACGATTGCGTTATTCACATAGAAACTTGCATACATCTACACTAACATGTCTGTTACGCGAATAGGTTTCAAATTAAGTAATTTGACATGCATTTAATAATAGTAATTTATTGTGAAAATGCATTATAAGCATGTTCAATATTTTACGTCATTTGAAATAAGTTTTTTTTACTATTGCATTATTTAAAAAGTGACAAATATTACAAACTTCAACGTAATGCAATTATTATTATTTTCACTATTTAGTATTTTTTTATCTAACTAAAACCATGGTAAAGTAAATTGCCTTTACAATATCGATACTCGAAAACTTCGTATTATAATTTTGTGGACGCATATAAAGGGAACTGACCTAAAAAGAAACTTACATCTAATTATAAAACAAAAAATAAACGGCATCCGTACAATATTTATTAAATAATATTTAATAGATAAATTATAATTTGAGATGCACTGAACTCTATAAATGGATAGGTTGACAGCTTTGTTCCAATTTAAACGCGCCTGTTGAAGTTCTTGACAATTATATCTTGATTAGTTCCAATCCTCACCACCGCTATCAACCGCAACTATCAGCGCCAAAATGGCGACAACTAGGCACAAAATACCATAGTTCATAGCCTATCCATTTATAAAGGTCAATGTTTGAGATGTAGTGCTCGCTAACTATAGAACACACTTTCTCGTTAATTAATATACAAATTATTAACCTACCATTTACAATTCCATTTTCAGATAGACTTCAAACATAATCTGTTAAAAAAAAAGATAAAAATACAGATATAATAAAAAAACAATATCTGAAACTTTATTAAATACATTTATTGTAATTGCTTCATTTAAGGGCGTTTCTTTTATTTTTTTTTCAAACTATTTTCGTAAAATCTATAAAAAAATTATAACACTTTCGAATTTAATTTATAATTATGGTGGTTTTCCGAACGACAATTCTAATGATATAAAAATTGTATTTAAATGTTTTTAAACGGAAAAAACATGACAAATTTATTCAAGTGTTTCGACAATGGAAACCTACCCTTAGTGCAAACACAAACTAAATATTTTTTACGGAAATAATTACTAAAATCATGAATAAAATTTATTACTACGAATTGCATTTATTATAAAGATTATTTTTCAAATTAAAATTTATAATATATTTCTACCAAGGCTATATATATGAGGTTTCCAATGAAATGGCACGGAGCTTATATATACTAAATATATTAAATTTAATATTTTTTAAACTATACTTAGACGAGCTAAAGAGATGAGATTAAAATGCTGCAACAAAAAAAAAACAGAAAATTAAATTATAGCGCTTATAACTCTAAAAGGCAACAAATTTTAGCGAAAAAAAAGTATGACTAAAATAGGGACATGAGAAATTTCAGTACACAAAGATGTGAATTCTTAGCTCCGTTGCCATGGTAACCCAAATTCTACTAAATTTAATCATAATTATATATAACTGTATATTGATTAGTTATGTTGGTGCAATAACCCAACAGGAGGGTGGGGGCGTGGTTTGTAGCAAGTGAAGGGGCGTGGTCTGGAGGTGTGGTCCTACGCGAGGTAGGCGTACGTGTCGAGAGTGCCCGGCGCTCGCTCTAGATACTGCTTGTCTATGAGAGACTCTATGCACTTCTTGATCATGGCGACAGATGGCGCGAACGAGCCCCGAGCTTGCGCCACCACTTCCTGGATTAATTCCGTGTGCCGCAACACCTGAGAGAAACATTTATTTTATTCGTTGTTTAAAATTTAGTATTCAAAACTAAGATGTAACCTAAGACTTAAGATAAACTAAGCTTAAATAAAACTTTTTAAATAAAATTCATCTTTGACAAAACAGATATTACTATATAAAAATTATTTGCTGTTCGTTAGTCTCGCTAAAACTGGGGAACGGCTGAACGGATTTATCTTATTTTGGTCTTGAAATGTTCGTGGAGGTCTAGGGAAGGACTAAAAGGTGAAAAAAAAATAGAAAATTTGCCAGGAACTAATTAGTTTTTTTTCATTCCACGCGGACGGAGTTGCGGGCGACAGTTAGTATAACTATATAATGATTTTGGTATCAGAAAACCACGGTAAATCATCGGTTTAGTTTATAGTTTTCTAGTAGTTCCAGAGTTTATAGGGAAATTTGTAAGTTTTGGTATATGTGCAGTGTATGGTGCTGTGACATGACTGACCTTCCTCTGTTTCATGATGCGCACGAGCGCGGCCTGCAGGTACATCTTGCGGTCGTCCTCGCAGTGCGCCGGCTCCCCGCCACCACCAGACCCGCTCCCACCACTGCCTCCTACATACATACATACTATCTAAATGACATCTTTAACATATTAAAATTATTTCTCAAACTAAGAAAACACCTTGGGACGTGAATCAAGGATATTAAACGTGTAATTTTTTTTATATTAGCAGATTTTTGTTAAATAACTAATTTTTTTTTACCATTCCAATTAAGCTCTATGCTTGTGCTAGGCTAGTTTACAATATTCGAATGGTGGGATTCGGAAGCCATTAGGCTACACCGGAAAAAGTACCTGATGCTGACTTACATATTGTGATCAAAGGTGAACAAAATGTGGGCGGAGTTTAAATGGTGTCAACCTACCGGAGTGTGTGGGCGCGGCGCCGCATGTCAGCCGCAGCTTCGTACGCTTGCTGGTGAAGGTAAGGTTAAGTAAGAGCTCCGCATCAGCGTCGTCCTCCTGCGCCGCTCCCGCACCGTCTGACTCCGCCCCCGGGGCAGAGGCGGGGCTTGTGAGGGAGGGGACGTTGCCACGCGCAGCTATCAAGCCAGCATCCAGCAGGGGACGCACGTGACGCGTCCACGCTTCACCGGTCAGTTGTAACGTGTCCTTCGCTTCGCGCACGCTCACATTGTCCACGTTCTCGAACATAAGCAGCAGCGCACACTACAAACACATTTATTGTAAATTTAGTAAAAAAAATATACGCAGTAACCCTTATGTCTGGTTTACATAATGTAAGTACAGTAGGTCAGTAGCGCCTAATATCATCGCTAGCTTACAACTGGCGTTATGTAAATACTAACTGGTGCCAATGAGCCAAAACAGTCCATGCCAATGCCACTGTCCAATTGTACTGGCATAATGTAAACCAGGCATATGTTGTCTTACACAATTTTGACTAAAGAATGAAAAGGTGATCCAGTAATAGAAGATTACTACTTAAATAGCCTTAATCATCTAGTAGTGCCATGTGATAGCTGACAACAATAAATAATTGCAGTGATTTGTCTATCGTAAGTTTACCTGTGGTGTGGTAGCGCTGATGTGGTAGACGCGCTGTGTATAGCGCGTGCGCAGCTCGCCAGTACAGAGATGGTGTAGCCATGCCAGCCGGCGACCGCTGAAAGAGCCGCGATAGAACGCCTCGAACAGGCGCGCCGGTCGCTCCAGCTGTGCGGGCGGGGCCAGCGGCGCCATCGCCCCGCCCAGCGGCCACGCCCCCGCTTGTAGCACCTACATCACATATACTACGTAATACTTAAAATCTTGTTTCTTACTAATATTATAAAATCGAAGGTTTGGATGAATGGATGTTTCTTTAAAGGCATTTCCGGCTCAACGGATTTTGATGAAATTTGGCACACACATAGTCTGGAAGAACACATAACTACTTAGGGTTTTTTTAATCGCACGTGTACAGAGTCGTGGGTAACAGATATATGGTATAATACTGCAGGCCTTAGTTCCTTAAAGTACTCCCTTAGTGTAGATATGTAAATAAATTTACTATAAGCGACTGTAATTATGAAAAATTTGAGTTCATCAATAACCATAGTTTAAAAAACCAACCTGTATAAAGAATCCTGTGTTCAACGATAGATTATTATCTCTGAGATGCTGTTGAAACTTTGCATTGAGATCCGCGGAGACAGCGACATCTGTGAACATTCTGTGCAACTTGTTGGTAAACTCGTATCCGCAGGCAGCTTTGAGGCGATTTATCATCGCTTCCTCTTGTTCCATGGAGGCTGATAGTTGATGTATCAGACGTCTGGCGAGTGCTCTAGAGTAGTGCTTCTGGAAGACATCTTTATCGTCGACGTATTTGAATACGATGATGGCGGCTGCTAACTTATCATCAGCGTCTGCGTCCGCACCACGACGTCGGAGCAGCGCGTCGCAGTATCGTGCGAGAAGCTCTGGTGCTTTTGCTGATGTCTCTCCCGGCTCCCGTGCGTTAACTACCGCACTGCACGCCTGCGAATTAACACTTAGTAGCTAGATTAAGTATACTAAACAATTTTTTAATCATAACGCAAAAGATTCACTATTGAAGCTTGGTAAAATATATCGTTGTCTCCTTGTTTTTTTAAAGAGAATGAAAGAGATGTCAATTGAACTCACTTTATCAAGTGCGCCAACGAACGCCTGCGCGCCTCCGAACACCTCATTGAACAGTTTGCTGTACTTCTTGTGTAGCGATAACATTGCGTTCACGAAGTGCGTGTGCGCCTGTCAAAATACAACATGCAAAAACTAATCATAAAAAAAAACAAATCGGCATAAACTCGGGTCTGCCATCCACTGTCACATACTTCATCCTTGCTGTGCTCGCTGGCAAGCAGCAGCAGGCCATCGCGTGCGGTCTGTGCGTGCGCTGCATCCACCAGCGGTCGCAGCGCCCCCTGTCCACTCATCGGCTTCAGCAACGTGTACATGCGCTTCAGATCCTCACGACGCTGACCAAACATACGAACAAACGATTAATTATCACATAGTAAAAATTAAAAGTAAAAGAGCCTTCACATCACGAAATGTGTTAACTTCTAATTTTAATAATAGATGAATGGATGTTTGTTAGAAGGTATCTCCAGAACGGCTGCATGGATTAATGAAATTTGGCATATATGTAGAACATAATCTGGAAGAACACATAGGCTACTATTTTTTAATTCCACGTCAACGAAATCACGGTCGACAGCTATTGGCCAATAAATGGAGATTCTACCCTTATATGAATAATTAAATTAGGGTAAAATCCCCATTTCTTGGTCTACCACCAAGGCTGTCGAATTGCCTGGCGTTATCAATTTATACCTGCAGGGCTTCAGGTGTATCGGCGCAGGCTTCGCGCAGCAGACGCTCGGTGTGCGCGTGCAGTGCGGGCAGGTGCGCGGCCACTGCAGCGCGCTCGTAGCACGCGCGTACCGCCTCGCGCGACGACGAATGCAGGTAGCGACACGCCAGCATTATTTCACGCTCCAAACCTGTATGTAAAACAAAAAGTTTATAAATAATTTATTGACCACGTAAATCAAGAGATTTGGTTTACTAGTAGTTCCTGAGGAGGAATCCACACAACTCGATCCAAAATTTTATCTACTACTATAGTAAACTGATATATAAACACGGCTAAACACTTCAACAACAACACCACCGACGCTTTGGTATCAACATCGTCGACGACGCCGGCGCAACCCGCGCCCCCCGCCCCCTCAAGACGCGCCCTAAGAGCGCAGGCGCGCAGTGAGCGACGGGCCGCGTCCGCGATATAATACCAGTACCACTCATCCTGATGAAGGGAAGAAACTAGTCGGTGCAGCCACCGGACAGATATACGTGAGTATTTAGCCGTGTTTATATATCAGTTTAGTATAATGTCTCACGAAAGTTTGAATAATTTACTACTATAGTATTTTGACTTATTTATTAAGGTCATAATGTAGTAAGCATTTGATGACGCACCTTCAAGTGTATGCTTCATATAATGGGATATGTCTCCGTCCTGCAGCAGGCTGGCGGCACGGCAAGCGTGGTGCGTGGCAGCAGCCGTCAAGTAGGGCTCCAGGACTAGTTGCTGGTACAGCTGCAGCGGTGCGCGTACACGGTGAGCCTAGAGGAATGTTTCAAGTGTCAATAAATGGGGATTTTACCCTAATTTGATTCTTCCATAGTATATTATTAACTCTTATTACAACAACTGGAATTCTGACCAAATCCACTTTACAGTAACTAAATAAAATTGGACCAATTTAAAAAAAAACGCATAAATCACTAAAGTTTGAAGGTATGACTGCTTTCAGGCAACATTTTACTAGACGAATTTAACAAGGTATAATATAGTAAATATTATATATCAAATCATACTTGTGCATGCACCGCGCTGTGTATAGCAGCATGCAGCACATCAGCCATGGAGGGTTCAAGCTGACAGTCGCGTGCAGCACTCAGTGCGGCCACAATGCGCGCTGTCAATCCCGCAGACAGCGACTGCACCAGGATGCGCTCCCATGTCACCAGCCCCAACTCACCCACCTATATTATATACATTAATAATTATTTTTGCTGGTATTTTTTTTTTTAATTAAACTTTATTGGCAATTCATCTAAGGGTCCATAACTGTGTTGATTACCCCATTAACCGATCGATTACTTGATCAATTATATAGGGTGTATAAAAAATATTTATTCATCATATAAACGGTTTTTTCCATCACTCCTGCAATCCTGAATATGTTTTTTGAGATAGATTTAAAACTAGTGTTTACCTCTAATTGTCTGGAGTCGTGCTCTGGACAGCTAACAGTGGCTGCTGAGCCATATATTATTTCCGCATCAGAAACCTGGAATACAGCAAAATATGTTTGATTTATTAGACCAAATTGTATATCTTACTAATATTATAAATGCGAATGTTTAGATGGATGAATGTACGTAATGATAGCTGAACAGATTTGCTAAAATTTGGTATAGATTTGCAATATATAGTCTGTAAGAACACATAGGCCGCATGTTAAGTTTTTTTTTAAATTCTGCACGGACAGAGTCTAGGAGCTAGTTAGTAAATAAACTTAAAATAACTCACCTTCTGTTTCTTAACATGCTGCAGATTGAGATAAGAGTATAGACTGTTGAGATAAGCTACACCCTGACTGTACTCCCTCCAAGCCGCAACATACCTGCAGACATTTTTATAAAGACGAAATAAATATCACATAACAAACTTTACAATTTATAAATCATACAACACCCTTCAAACAAAAAAAGAATGATGAATATATCAGACTACTAGGGGCGGAGTAATCAACAAACAAAAAAAAAACATACAGATCAATTGAGAACCTCCTCCTTTTTGAAGTTGTTAAAGAAATAACATGATTCTACTCACCTCGTAAGCAGACCATCATTGTAATCACTGCTTTCAAGTGATGCATTTCCTTGAACTCTTTTCAATAGTTCTCCGACATGCTCTTCCAAGAAATTTCTAGAAAAGAATAATGTACAATTAAATAAATAGCAAAACAGAACTAAATAAGGTTAACAAACAAAATACAATATACTAATAATTTTTATTGCTTATAAAGGTTTCTCGCATATGGAGATTGTCTGTTGAGACCAGGCAATGACTCTCGCTTATAAATGTTTCACCCTTATCCCAATTTGACTGTAGAAACAATGTACCTAGTCTCATCATATAGACGGTCAGCGAGAGGCTCCGGATGTGCCACACATAGTGCATATACATCAGAGAAGCGCATGTTCCACACAGCACGCTCTACTGCCCGTAACGCCACAACTCCTGCCACCTAAAAGTATATAAAGGCTTTTTATAAACATTCATGTTTTTAACAGTGTTATATGTATTTGTATGAACTAAGAGGTAGATGATGGCTGCCGTCATGAAGACAATTGTGCTGACATGGCCCGAGACTTAACACAGAGTACAAGATAGAGCGAGCTAGCGGCGCACTGTGGACACCCTCAGCCTTAAGTCAAGTAAATCAAGTCATGAGAGGGAGATGACTTATGAACTATTAAACTTTTGGCTGCCATTTTACTTGTTTGTTCTTTTATATAAAAAGTAATTGATTTACTTATTGGTAAAACCTAAAACACAAGGATAGCAGCAATATTATGCAGTGTGGAAACTTATAGTAATAGGAAAGGTCCTATCAAGGGCTTAGCATGTTAAATTGTCATCTTCTGCAAGTAATTATGAAATACATACTGTCTCCTTAAGGCTTGCCCAAGTCTCCTGGAAGTCCACATTTCTCGGTTTTAGGGACATCATTGAAAGATCATGTGCCTGCAAAAAAAGGAAATAATGATTAAAATCAATATCTATATAACTAGATATTTGTAGGTATAGTGTATTATTTTAAAAGGTGTAGGTAATAATTTAAATTATGTATTGCAATTTGTCATTTGTTTACAGAGAAACTTTTGAATATTACAAAGACATTCCAACTTTATGTCGTAAACAATAACAAAATAGGTCATTCATTATATATGCATTTGTGTTGTAAACATTAAGAAATTTTCCACAGACATGCATTGCTTGGATAAAAAAAATTGGAATATTCATTGTTAATTAGGAACACACTGTACCAAACCCTTCTAGATCTTAATGTCAAGAGGAGTATATGTTTTGGTTCAAGTCGCCGCCTCATGAAGTGATAAAGGATTATATGTAAAGAACATTGTATGTCTTGAATATCATACGAGGTCGTGCTGCAAAATCCAGCAACGCAATATACTTGGCATCGTGACAACAGCGGGATAAAGCAACTATAAGATCGTTCACAAAATTACTCAGCAGTATCGACGTACAACCAAAATAATTTAAGTTAATAAATATAACCCAATGCTAAACTCACTTTTAAATCACCCTATCGCACTATCTTTGCTTTGGAAACTTTATCGCCTTTTAAGCACTTAGTAAATTAGAGGCAGTTACAAAAATAATAGAAAATATTTCGCAGAATCCGCAAGCAAAAACCAACCAATTCTACAATTTTGACATTTGTTTTTTTATAGGCGAATAGTCAAAATTATTTTTTAGGTTAAGATCCAAGGCTTTTCGCCACGGCATACATATTAAATGGAAGACTGCGAATAAAATTGTTAAAGGTGATAAAGGTAAATGTTATACACGAAAAAAAGGATTACTAAGTATCTAATGGAACTGTGCCTCTTTAAATCGTTTGAATATGAGAGACCCTTTGCCCTTTGAAAATCACTAAAGCAACGTTCTTAAAAGTTATTTATATATTTAGTTAGTTACATAATCTAGTGCTTCATGTTTTGTAGGAATGGATAAGTGTGAAAATACTAGGTTCCATGGATTTTATTTAACCAAGACCTACCATGACGAGTTTAAAAATAAATTACACATTACAATAATTCACATTTTATTTACATTATTCAATAATAATTATTTTTATAAGAATTATTCACAATAATTTTTTCACTAACTTAAAATTAAGATATAAATGTGTCAATTATGTTTTTCGGATTCTTGTGTCATAATTTCAAGTTCCTTGCGTAACATGGCAGCTTCTTCTCTCATCTCTTGCAAGCTTCTCGCCGGCTTTCTTGGCTGTGTTGGTGATACCCTGTCGAAAAAAGTATTGACATTTAAAAATGAAAAAAAAAACTGGATGAAGACAATTTAAGCCTATTTTATACCATAACAAGTTAACAAGAAAAAAACAATGTAAAATTCCTTACTTGTCATGTTTAGCCAGTTCTAAATAAATAAGGTCGTTGTCTATGAAGTCGCCTTTCTTCCTTGGTAATATGTGACAATGAACATGCTGTAAAAAAACAATTGTTAGACAGATAAAATATTTGCATTTCAAAGTTAACCTTTTGAATGCCACCTGAACAACTAAGGCCAAATATTTTATAACAATAATGTTTACATTACCTTTATTGTCTGACCGGCCTCAGGCCCATCCTGAATGGTAACTGTACTTGAATTAACGTTATGTACTTTCTCCATTAACTGTAACATAAATAAAATTGATATAAAAACAACATAACACTTTTGTAACCTATTGGAAACGAAACTGACAGGGTTTTGTCTATGGAATTTAAAAATAAATAAATCCAACTAACCCTTTGTACTAATCTGACAGTTTTAAAGAAATCTGAAGCCTCTTCATCATTGAGATCTCTGTTTCTTTCTGCTAATCTTATAGGGGCGATTAGAACATGTCCTGGTATAACACATCTACAAAAACAAATCAAGAAAATGTTTAATATAGAACATATTGAATTTATAATTTAATTAATCATCATTTAAACACTCTCCATGCCACTTCAAGTTTTTTAAACTGTTCTCTTGAGTGGCATTGAAAGTGTTAATTTTTTTTTATTACCTTAAATTTACAAATGCATACGTTAAGTTAGTTTTATAGAAGACACATGATTCGGGTACTTTAGCTTGCCCGAAGACATACATTGGTTCACTATTTTCTACATCTTGTGTTTGATTGCTCGTCGTTGATACTACAGTAGTAAGGGAATGCTCTGCTAGGAGTTTGTTGCGTAAACTAAGCGTGTATAATGAATACACATCTGTTCTGAGAAAATAAAAAAGGTATTCATCATACGTATTCATCATCATCAGCTCACTGTACGTCCCCACCGAGGGGCTCGGAGCCTGCCCTAAGTTAGGGGTGACTAGGCCATAGTCAACCACGCTGGCCAAGTGCGGGTTGGTAAAAACACATTGGTACATGGCGGGATTCGAACCCAGGACCGTGCAGATCACAAGTCAAGTGCTGAAACCACTGAGCCACCCATGCTCTAAAACTTATTATAACCTAACTTTTTGCAATAAAATTTAAAAGTACACTTATAGAAGTCTGAATAATTAGATTCAGATACTTTGACTCTACTGACTTACACATTTTTTAACATATTAAATTGAACATACAGCGTGGTGGCTCTGAAAGGGTTAAGTTAATTACCTCCTATGTTGGAATACAGGCATATTACGTCTAACATCAGCAAGTTTTTCAGAGGATATCTCAGCAATTTTATAACATGGACCCTCTTCTTGGCAATCAGCTAGGACTTCGCCCCAAGGGTCCACGCATAGCGCATGTCCGTAAGAACGTCTCTTTGCGTTATGCTGACCTGTTTGTGCTGCTGCTATTACATAGCATTGGTTCTCTATAGCTCGGGCTCTGAAAAAAAAAAGAAATGTATTTAACACTCAAGGGTTAGACTGAGTGCTTTCGCTTTGAAGCTATTCCATATCAAACTTCAAAAATGTATAGACTGACGCACGACAATCACGTGACTTATCAAAAGTTATAGTCGGAACTGAATACATTTTTGAAGTAAGTTATTGAATTGCTTCAGAGTGTATGCACTTTTTCTAACCCTCTAGGTATATAAGCGGAACGTATATAGTTTTTATTTACCTGAGCAATGTATGCCAGTGTGCCATACCAGTAACATAAGTAAATGCAGATGGAAATGTTAAAATATCAGCCCGCATCGAGCCAAGAGTTGTACTGAGTTCGGGAAAACGCATATCATAGCAGATTTCCAAACCTATGTAAATAAGAAATTAAATATATATTAATGTGAATATATAGCTAACCGCTAGTATTTACATAAAATAAAAAAAACTGTTGTATCATCTACATACCAATTCTTCCTACAGGCGTGTCAACAGGTGTGACAACATGGCTGCCAGGGCTTGTAAAATCACTTTCCTTCAAACGGATATTCTTCTCTGGAATCTCTACATCAAATAGATGCAACTTTCTGTATGTCTGCACTATGTCACCCTTGTTGTCTATAATTATATGTGTATTAAACATTTTTGTTGGATTTTGTTCATCCTTAAAATAAAATAATGTAACTAGAAGTATCATTAAATTAATATTAAGGCCACCCCTAGGTGAATTAGTTTTTAGTCATATCTTTATATACTTTGTAATACCAGAGTTGATAAATAAAGAAATAAAAATTAACCAAATTTCAACTAAATTTTTAGAAAAGGTTAACTAGTATTAGTATTTTATTAGTATACTATTGAGCATCGGTGGCTCAGGGGTCAAGCACTCGACTTGCAATCTGCAGGTCCTGGGTTCGAATCCCGCCATGTACCAATGTGTTTTTCGATTTCCGATTTACATATGTACATTTATCCGACGTTCTTACGGTGAA